ATTTATACAGAAAATAATCAAATTCTTTGAAGACACTGCACAGAGCAACAGGCTGAATTGTCCAGAAAAACAGTAGGAGTGAGAAACATAAAAAAAACCCACACAGGTTGTGGGAGGGCGCGATGTAATAAGTGTTCATTTTGGCCATTTTGCGTGTCTTTGCGCTTGTTTGAAGTCTCTGCTGTTATTTTGTGTCTAATTTTGATCGTTTTCTGTGTTATCTGGGTTATTCTGAGTCTCTCTTTAGCCATTTGTGCCTCATTTTGGGGCTTTTGCATCTCTTTGTGATTGCTTTATGTCTCTTTGCTGTTATTTTGCGTCTAATTTTGGTCGCCTTGCGTCTCTTTGTGGTTGTTTTACGTCTCTTTGCTTTCAGAGTTAAAACTATCAGCCGACAGTTGCTGCATATCATTTAAAACCTCTCTCTCTTTTTATTCTCCGCTTGAAGCTTTTCTGGTTTTCCATTAGAACCCCTCAAATATCCTTTGGCCTGCTTCTCATTAAGCTGTGAGCACATCTACTAATGCACGCTGCCTTTGCTGATTCCATCACAGCAGCGTCCAGTTCAGCGTTTTTTTTCTGGGTCGAAATGTAATCATGATAACTTGTTGGGATTATGGATGTGGCCTCTGTTTGTGCCACAGACTCAGACTTGGACTGAGCCTTGCGGAGGTCTGGCTGGTGTCAGGAAGCAGCATCCACAAGTCACAGGGCGTAATTGTTTAATTTAGTAAGTCTGGATTAAAGGCCAGCATTGCCCAATCCCATTGTGCTGACGGGTTTTGTGCAGCGCTGGGGGAGGGGACGGGAGGGACAGATGGGACGGACACATGGTCCCTGTCGACCTCCTCCTCCTCCTCCTCCTCCCCTCACAGACTCTCTCTCCCTAATCTGAGCGGGGAGGACGGGGGGAGGATGGGGGAGGATACCGGGCATTCGCCACCACCTCTCCCTCTTTTCTGGCAGCACCCAGCACAGCCGCAGAGCCAAAGCACGCAGGATATGGGCAAAAAAACAACTTATCCCCCTGCGAGGCTGCACTGAGAGCAGCTGAACCGGCGCTCATGCTGAGGGTCTCGGCTGCAGGGAGCCCAGTCCGAGCAGATCTGCTGCTAATCCAGCATAAGGAGCGCGTAGGGACAGACGAACCTGCCGGACTCCGCGGTGTCCTGCTCTTCATTTCTAACTGTTGCCCCACCGGAAAGTTGTGCCGTGGCCTCTCGGAGGATGTGAGGATGCCATCTTTGCAGGCGCTCTGAGGGGAAGCCGTTTGGGAAATTCATGGCCAAATGCAGAGTGGTGGCCGAGGAAAAGCAGTTTAGAGGCACGATGTCGGCCACGCAGGGGATGAACCGCAGCGGCGTCTACAACTACTTCCTCAACATGGTGGCCTATCAGGTGAGAGCAGAGCAGGAGGCGGCAGCTGCAGCTGGAGGCAGATGTTTTCAGGGTTCCTTCACTGGCTGCTCGGGGTTGAGAGTTTAAAATAAAAGGGGTTAGATGATTCTGTCTAATCCTGGTGTTGCTTTTAAGTTATTTATCCAGTGATGGAAGATGCACTTGGATATTTTATTGCAGTACAACTATGTCAAAAATACAGGAAGTAGTAAAAGAAAATGTAGAGCGCACCATTTCTGTGCTTTATTATTGCTGCATTAATGTGTAAGCAGCATTTTAAAGGTCACGGTGCAACAGTTTTACAGACTGTTGAGACGCCACAGAGCTTTTATGAGCTGATGCTTCGTATGCAAAATGTTAATCTGAAGAAGAACTAGCAACCAGTGCTGTTGTGTAGCCATGGGAGAGTAGAAAAGTGCAGTATTTCTGTCTGAAATGCTGCAAAGTTGGAGGATAAAGACGCACTAAATGGATGTAGTCAAGCAGAGCAAACTAGAAGAAACAGAACAATAGATTTGTCATGAATGTCATGTTTTTTATTTTATGCACTTCACTGATCCTGCAAGAAGAAATTCTGTTTTTGCATGTCACAGCTTGTTAGGATGCTGATGTCAGGGTGCAATTTGAACATCCAAACCTCCTGATTAATGGACCAAAGCCTGAACACTCAGCTACCGCTACATGTTCTACATTCAAACAGAGGTTTCCAGAGGTTGGACAACCAAACAGTCTAATCCAGTGATGAAAACTGCTTTTATGAGGTTTATAAAATCACTTTCTTCAGTAAACTTGTGTCAGAGGGAAGCTGATTTTGGTGTCGTTTAGGCAATAACATTGTTCAGTATTGCTGTGAAGATATGACTTGACATAGACAAACATATCGCTGGATGCATATTTTTAGCTACTGTATATAGTTTCTATGTCTGTCTGCTTTAATAAGGCAACTTTCCACTACAAGAACCTGTAATCTTCACTCTCAGCCTTTCTGTTTTGATTGCAGTGTAGGATCCACCATTAGCTCTGAGTGCACCAAAACAAATACTAACAGCTGTAGCTGGATCTAACTCCAGCTCTGTGGGTTTGTAGGAATATTGTCGATGGCGATCAACAACAAACTGCCGGACCTTTGTGCGTGATCAGACCCCACTAACTGGACCTGTAGAGCCTTTTTCAGGGTCGTTTACGAGTAAAAGTACGTCTGAAAAAAAAATCTCTGTGTAGACGTTTATGCTAATTGGTAAAACTTGGTGAAGATCAACGTTACTGGTTAAACAAGCGTAATCTTTTCTCGATGTCTTTGTTGAGTAGTAGCCTTCTCCTCTGACAGGCTAACATGGCAGACCTCCATTGTTCTATGTGCTCATAGAACTGGAGTCATGATCAGTAGCTACAACCTGCTGCTGTTTTGGTGCACTTTGAGGTAAAGTCATGGTCAGAAGTGTTGGATCGTACACCACAATGGACACAAAAAGACTTGAAAATTAAATTCCTGTTCCTGTAAACGTTCTTGCCACCTTGCATCTGCCCTCGTTGGCTTCTCTGAGTTTTACCAATCAGCACTGGCTGTGTCAGGACGACTATTGAAAATCATCAGTTGACTACATTGGGGACAAGTTGATGACTAACGGTACCTGACGAGACTAACTTTGACAGTAAATAATGAGTTCAAATCAAAGCAATGAATCTTCACATTGACTTTATGTAGGAAAGAAAACTACAGTCGTTATTAAGTAGAAAATATGGCATTAACAAGCTGAACGAGTACAACTGGGTAGATATTTATTTAAAGCCCTGAAATGAAGGAAGTGCTGATGTTGGACTGCATGTTGATTCCTGCTTCGTCTCTGTCCTCGGGGCAACAATCTCTGCAAAGATAGTGTTTGGTAGCTGTGCAGGAAGAGAAGTTCAGGCACTGTATCTGGGTCTAGACCTGCTCCGTCTTTGGCAGCAGTAATATCAGCAGCAGGAAACAGCCTCTCTGAAGGTGGACAGACAGCAAAGTGTTCTTGTTACAAGTCGAGCAATGTTTGGAAAACTGTTTTGCTTCCGTCAGTCCAGGTCAAGTATGTTTGAGCTGGGATCTGTTAGGTATCGTACACTTCATCGTCTGGTATTTTAGATCATATTGTCTCTGTAACGTGATGATAAAAATATGCTACTTTAACAGTTATCAGAAGCAGTTTTGTTCATTAATGATATTGGAGGAAAACCAAACTTTCTGAATTACAAGACCAGTCGGCCAGAAGAAGAAAGAGTCAACTAATCAGGTAGCTGCTAGTCGTACTTTTATGACTCGTTGCTTCAACCCCACTTCTTTCTCCCCCTAAAACTGCAGGAACCTTCTGCAGTGTATTAATATATTTACTTCTTAATGCAGTTACGTATTTAGAGCGGTTAAACTACATTTTAACACAATGTTGAAGAGGTGCATGTAGGTCTGACACTGTCCCATAATTAAACATATGACTCTAGTTTTGGACCAAACCAAAGTGAAATAATGCTGTTGACTGAATATTCTCTGTGATAAAACACCAATAGACTGATTAATTTGCTGCAGAACCAGCAATGTAAACGCACTGAGCAGCAAATCAGGACCAAGCATAATCACGTATTTATGTGATTTCTGCTCCACAAACTAAATGCATGTAGGTTTCCATGGCAACACGTTGCACACAGTGTGCGATACTGTAACTGCACAGCATCACTCAGTGGTATTAATAACGTACAGGTCTGCAGATATAACGTATTCCCTCAGCTGAGAATCTGTATCGCTCATAGAGAATTGTGAGGACGTGTCTCACGGCTAATTTGAATCTAAAACACTGAACAGAACCGTCTCTCCATCAGGTTAGCTGTACAGCATCAGTTACCATGGTGATCTAGCAGGTTAGAAGAGAACCACCTTCACGACACTGAAAACTCTGACTTTAAGCTCAACATACCTCTTTAACCCATTAATTTGAGTTTGTAGTAAAACTATGAGAACTTCTCATGGGATCAGTGGACAAGAACAACAACCATATTATCTGCTTCATCCCGAGTGAGACTGTTGAACTTATGTAAGCCTGTATTTTGTATTTGAGCTACAGCTACGGCAAAGATGAACAGTTTTAATCACAACAGCAAAACAAAAGCAACCTGACTAGGATTTATCTCCTGCCTCTATTAGGGTTAGGGTTAGGGTCAGTCTGATCACCTAATGATGACGTCTTTAAAGCATCCAAGACAAGAGAATCGTTGGAAATGAAATACGACATCATCCCGTAGGCACAGCTCGTGGCTGCTATGGTGCAAAAGTTGCAAACATCACTTTGCAAATGACAGCAGAAATGTCTTAAGAAGCACCAGCTCTAGTTTATTCGTGCATCGTGGGGTCCAAAGACAGTTGCATTTCCAGAACTGGGAAGTTAAAGGAAATAAAGAATAAAGGTCTTTAAACCAGAGATGTTGCATTTATGTAGCATGAGCTGCAGCTGTTAGACCACCAGGCCTCTCAGTGAAAATCATTTTTATATATATACATTCTGTAATTTTTCTACAAGTTTCACAAATAAATCGTCAGTAAGTGATTCCACAACCAAGACTTTATAAATTGTTCAAAAACTAACTTTACGTGCAGGAACTTGCTGCTATATTTGTGTGGTTGCATGCAAGTAGGTCATCATAATTTCTCTTTTAAATACACCTTTATATAGAGTTTTATCCTTCCATCCATTATCTATACACCGCTTCATCCTCACTAGGGTTCGTGGGGGGCTGTAACGTTAAAAGCAGAATAAACAGCACCACTGAAGGACCTTTATGATGAAAGCTAAATATGGATCACAGGTGATTTGTGAATATGATCCAGGCAGGATTATCTCTCAGATTATCTTCCTGGATTCTTGGAAACATGTAAGAGATGTTGTTGTTGTTGTCATGTACAAACAAATTGTTTTGGAAATACTAATGTTACTGTTTCTGATTTAACAAAGTCTATCTGGTGCATTTTTCCAAACCAGCGTGATACTTGAACTAAAACTATATCACCAGGAGCACAAAGACACATTCAGGAGGCTGTGTTCATCGATTATTCCTGCTCTCTTTACATCAGACCCAGCGCTGCTCTATCTGGCCTGAACACACTGACCCACTGTATTATTTGGCTATTTTTAAGTCAAAGTGATTATTCTGTGTTTATGCCAGCTTTAATCTGCCTCGCTTACTGCAACAACTTCACTCCGTGCCCATTAATCCTGTATTATGAAGCTTAAACTAGGCCACAGGGCACCTAGCGGTCTGCAAGACGCTGCTATAAAGGTCACCAAAGTTTATAACCCACATAAAGTTGTTTAGATGCTTGTTTTTACTGCAGTAGCACCACAGTTTGATCCATCCTGCATGGAGGATGTCTGGTTCAGCATCCAAAAAGGGCAGAAGTAAAATTTTATTTGACTAAATTATATTATTGACTATGAATAATATCCTTCCTGCACAAAATATCCTGCAGTTGTTGTTTCTAAAATCTTCAGAAAGTAGATTTTTTTCTGATTTGCTGTCTTGATGCAACAATCTCCGTATTTTAGAGGCAACAAAGGCAATAGAGCAGGTTTTATTTTAAATGTTACATTTGCCTCTTTTAAAAACTTTTTTTTTTTTTGGAAGAAAAATTGAGTTTCAAACAAGGAAATTCCAGTTTTTAAAATAAATGTAAAACACAACAGCTGTTTTGGACGTTACCAGCCCATTAAATTATCATTACAACCGGTAGGAAGCTCCTCCACCTTCCAATAGAATCAGTAGAGTTTTATTATCACAGTTTATAGAGCTGTGATTTTACATTAACAAGAAGGAGCAAAACGATGTATTTGGAGGAAGCGTAAATCAGCAGACATTTAGTGTTTTCTTTTTTTACTAAAGTCATGTTTTGACTTTCTCGTTTGCGAGCTGTTTGTCCTCTGGGTTTACTCACATTTTCACTTTGTGTTAGCAGTTTGGGTGCTAAAACATCTCGGTTAGAATCAGAAAATTACATTTATGTGCTACGTTTAGCTCCATTTCGTACATTTCCAGGGAGACTTCACATGCACGTACTCGTGACTGCAGGAGGTCGGCAACATTATCAGGAGAACTTTCAGTTTATCAGTAACAGATTGATATCAATCCAGAAAGGCTGATAATATCAAATCAGTTGATCAAAACATGACATCCATCCATCCATCCATCCATCCATCCATCATCTATACACCGCTAAATCCTCACTAGGGTTGCGGGGGGGTTGGAGTCTATCCCAGCTGACTCAGGGTGAAGGCAGGGGACACCCTGGACAGGTCACCAGTCTATCACAGGCTACACAGACAATTTAGAATCACCAATTAACCTCAACATGTTTTTGGACTGTGGGAGGAAGCTGTAGAACCCGGAGAGAACCCACGCTGCACGGGGAGAACGTGCAAACTCCGTCCCTAACCGGCAACCTTCTTGCTGCGAGGCAACAATACTAACCACTGAGCCACCTTGCAGCCCTCCAAAACGTGACATGCGATCAGAAATACAACAGCAAATACTTGAAAATACTGTGTAAATAATATAAACATGTAAATCAAGTAAGTAGGTGCAAAGTAATGTGGCTGCCTAAACATTCATCTACGTCAATATCGTTGTCACACTTCGGCTTATTTCAATCCAGTTAGTGTTAAAGTTCTGATGCAACACTAAGTAGGTTTAATTAGCTTTAACATTTACATATTGTGTTGTTGAAACCTTTAAAAAAACGTTGCCTCTCGCTGCAGTTACAGTGCAGATAATCAATAAGAAATTCTAAATTTGTGCAGCACTTTCAATGACAAAGTTACAGATTGCTTTACAGAGGAGCAAAAACAAACAACGAAGATCTACAAAAAAGTTATAACAGAGAATAATGAATCAATCAAACAATAAACAGACAAAAGTCCAGAAAGTTTTCAGTAAATCAAGCTGAAAAGGATGCTGAATGATCGGCTGCACATGAAAAGGTTCGATACTTCATGGAGACAAAATTTGGACAAAATGTCCCTTCAGTCACGTGGATCGAATCATTTTTGAGCTACTGTATATGATTAAAGATCTATTTTTATTCAGCCTCTGCTTCGACGAGAAGATGTTGGATAATCTTCTCTGCATTATCCATCAGATTATGAGCTGCACGTGATGAGTAATAGTATATCTGGATTCACTGCTGCAGCACTCGGTCATACATTTGACCCAGATATTGAAAATCAGAGTAAAGCAGGAGAAAAAAAACGACGACGACATTTACCAGCTGAAGCTACGTTTTCTGAATCCCGCGTGTCATCTTGTGACCCCGATAAACCAGACTGAAATCTGCAGAGGCTGCTGAGTCATCAGACAGATGTTTGTGCAGGTTTTGCCTCCTTAGATTTAGTTCAGGATCAGCGGCGACGAGCTTACAGCATCCACAGATTTGTCCGAATCAGAACCAGACAGATGCTGCTGAACTCATTAGATTAATCTGTCAACGCTGCCAAACTCTCCACAATGTAGGCTGCCTCTTACAAACATCTTCAAACTGCTTTGCTTTGACTCTGTCTGCCCTGAAGGCTCGAGTTTTTCAAGTTGTTTAAGGGTTGCACATTCAATTCCTGGTACTATATTGTGATTAAAATAAATGGAGATTCTATTGTTTTTTTCTTTTTTTTTGTTGCAGCAGATTTAGTAGAGAAGCAGCTGAAAGTTTAGCCACTGATCCTTTATCAAAAGCCTGTTTTTTTCTTGCAGAAGCAAACATATGATTTTTACTGTTGCGTTACTGTTACGTTGTTTTGGACAGTAGGACTTCCTGTATTTGAAAATTGGCCAAAGTGTCTCATTGAACCTTACAGTTGTGAAGCTGTTACTGGGTACATTTAGAGATGCTTTTCCAGGTAGAAGTTTTAAAAACTAGCTTTGATTTAAAGGGTTGAGTTTTGTGATGAGAGTTCAGTCAATTAGCATTTCTGGAGCCTCAAACTATCTGAATAGTAATGGATCCATCGGCAGCATCAGCTAACATCAGCTCCTTTTTCTTCTTCTACACTGTAAAGCACACGAGTGTTGATTCTAAAGAAAGCCAAAAGAGAAATGCACACAGAAGCAAAAAGTGCAAGATTTTAGTTTTACTTATTCATTGTAATCAAGCAACAAAAACACCAAACAAACAAACAAAAAAACCCATTAAATAAACATAATACATCAACACAGCATCATGCGAGGCGCTTGTTCGTGTAAATCTTTAACCACAAACACAGTTTAACAGCATGTCAGGAGAAAAAGCCTGGTTTGTTGTAACAGAAATACCAAGTAGGGTTGCTAAGCTATCTAGCGGGTTTTTTTTTTTTAACCTTGTTTTTATTTGGTAGCAGACATATCACGAGTGATATAAACAGTCAATGCCATGGCCGAGCATTTCCACCTTGAAACAGTGTACTGTACCGCAGCGTGCTGACGACAGGCTCAAAAACACAGATTCAAACTTTTATGTTTTGTTTTTCTTTTCTTTTCTTTTAGTATAGTAATAATCATGTAAGTAATAAACCTAGGGTTGCAAGGTGGCGCATTTTGTAGCACCGTTGCCTCACAGCAAGAAGGTCGCCGGTTTGCATCATGCTGAGGACACCCGGGATCTTTCTGCATGGAGTATGTATGTTCTCCCCGTGCAGTGTGGGTTCTCTCCGAGTTCTCCGGCTTCCTCCCACACAGTCCAAAAACATGTTGAGGTTAATTGGTGATTCTAAATTGTCTGTAGGTGTGAATGTGAGTGTGCTTGGTTGTCTGTCTCTAAGTGTAGCCCTGTGATAGACTGGTGACCTGTCCAGGGTGTCCCCTGCCTTCACCCTGAGTCAGCTGGGATAGACTCCAGCCCCCCACGACCCTAGTGAGGATTAAGCGGTGTATAGATAATAGATGGATGGAAATAATAAACCTACAGGACAGAGCCTGTCAGCTTGCAGGGTGGAGCTTTCTGTGTTACTCTTCAGACTGTCATATTACATTGTGTTGCAGGCAGCATATTTACAGTATTTGAGCAGAGTTGTAGGTGAGCTGGTGTGCTGAGCTGCAGTGAGTTGGTGGAAAAAGTAGCAGGAACTTCATAGAGCCGCACATGCACAGTTACAGCACAGTTCTAAGCTATATTAGGGCAGGAAGAGATTATTTTCATTAAAAAAAAAAAACTCTAAATAAGCAACTTTGATACATAGAGATGAGTTTTAGGGGTTAAATCAATGACCATAGAAGGAGCTTAAGGCACTTGGAAAAGAGTTTTAGCCTCAAGATTTGCTAGTTTCCAGTTGCTACAGTTGCATTAAATGTGTGATGTGAAGGAATTTCCGCTGCTGCTGGATCGAGGGTTGCAGGTAAAGATTGTATAGCCTTGTACAAGATAGACCTTGAGTTTTACCTCTGGCGTGTGACCTTTGGAGACCCTACTCTAGTTCCTGCGTTATGTCTGAAGAACAACCTTGTTTTGGGATGTGATGAGCTCAGTGGGTCACAATACTGGACATCTTACATTTAGTCTCATTGTTACCTCTGATTCTGTCCATAAACACTTCTGCTTTTCACACATTCCTGCAGTTTTTTGTTTTTTTAGGATTTTCTTCACACCACTCAGTTTCACTCACTTGTTCTTAAAAATTCCTCTGATTCATCCGTCAGCTGTACGTCTCTCAGGCTGCTGCATCCTGATGTTTGCAGCTGCAGCTGTATCACTGCTACAGAAAACATCAGTCTCACCCTGAAAGCTCCAGAACCTTTTGTGAAGGTCAAACTATCAACCAGTAGCTTCATTAAGACTCTGGTTCCTCTGGTGGAAACACAAAAAAATGAGCAAATATGAAAATGGATGTTTAGACAGGACAAAATAAAGGTGTCAGCAGTGTGTGGTTCATGTTTAGCAAGTGAGTTAATGTATGTATAGCACCTCATCATGCACACAGGTTATTCCAAGTGTGAATGTAAAAAAATTAAAACATAGAAATCTAATTATTTTTAAAAATAGTCCCGGTAAAGTTGGATAAACTGCACAGAGTTATAGAATGAATAAAGAGGATTAAAAGAGATGAAAAAGACATGACATTTCTCACAATTGAGTAAAAGTGCAGACAACTTAAAAAATGTGGAGGAAAAAATAATAATATTCAGCTTTGCATGTTAATTGCAAGTCATCTTGTACATTGTTCACTTATCTATCTGGATACCCTGGATTTCCTCAAAGGGATGAATAAAGTATCTATCTATCTATCTATCTATCTATCTATCTATCTATCTATCTAAGCTATTTCAGCTCATCTGGTCTGAACTCTGGGCTCCACTAACTGACCTGAGAGGCCTTCCAGGGTTGTACACAGCAAACATGACATGTTTTGTACAGTTTACGTCGATTAAATTGTGTAATTTGTGTGTCTGGACGCTGACGTGCTTCCTCTCCGTCCTCCTGCTCAGATCTGCTGCTGCTGTGGCCCGGCTCCCTGCTCGCTCTGCTGTGCCTTCTGCCCTCCGGTCAAATCGTCCACCAGCACCCGGGTCATGTACACCCTCTTCCACATCATGAGCTGCGCCGTGTCCTGCCTCATGCTGTCCAGAACCGTCTCCGAGCTCGTCAGGGAAAATGTGAGTACACGCACACAGGCTGGTGCATGAGGAGCTGATGGTCGTTCTATTTCTAGTTTTGTAATTGGAAAGTTTTTCAAAATGGCTTCTTGCCTTCTGGTCGACTAAACAGAACCGTAAATCAAAGAAATCTATTAAAATAGACCTAAATAGAACAACTTCCACTTGGCAA